TGGTGCCATCTCAGCTCACTGCAACCTCCACCTCCCAGGTTCAAGCGATTGTCATGCCTCGGCCTCCCAATTAGCTGGGATTACAGGTACCCGCCACTATGCCCAGCTAACTTTTGTATTTTTAGTAGAGATGGAGTTTCACTTTCTTGGCCAACCTGGTCTCAAACTCCCGACCTCAGGTGATTCGCCCACCTTGGCCTCTCCAAGTGCTGGGATTACAGGTGTGAGCCACCAAGCCTGACCTCTCCTGACCTCAAATAGACTTGTTGAAAGAAGCTGGGCGTAGTGTCATGTGCCTATAATCCCAGCTACTCGGGAGGCTAGGCAGGAGAATCGCTTGAACTTGGAAGGTGGAGATTGCAGTGAGCCGAGATGGAGCCACTGCACTCCAGCCTGGGTGACAGAGTGAGACTCTATCTCAAAAATAAATAAATAAATAAATAAAAATAAACTTCTTGAAAAAGTTGACTATACTGGCTGGTCTGGCTGTGGTGGTTCATGCCTATAATCCAAGCATTTTGGGAGGCTAAGGCAGGTAGATTCACCTGAGGTCAGGAGTTCGAGACCAGCCTGGACAACATGGTGAAACCCCATCTCTATTAAAAATACAAAAAATTAGCCAGGTATGGTGGCACATGCCTGTAATCCCAGCTACTCGGGAACCTGAGGCAGGAGAATCTCTTGAACCTGGGAGGTAGAGATTGCAGTGAGCTGAGATCACACCACTGCACTCCAGCCTGGGCAACAAGAGCAAAACTCCATATCAAATAAAAAAAGAGAAAGAGTTGACCATCCTCATTGCTTTCATTATATCCTCCTCACCTATCAGCAATCTAGCTTGCATACCTTCTACTCCACAAAAACCGCTCTCAGCTCTCAGTACGTTTCAGTAATCTCTTAACTGCCCAGTGCAATCCTTATCTTCCTGGAATGCTCTGAACCATTTGGCATGGAACTAAACTCATTATTGTCCCCAAACATTCATTCTCCTTTACTCTCTCAGCTAGTGGCACCATCATTATACAGTGACCCGTGATGGAAAGCCACCATAAGATAATTTTAGCTTGGACTTATTAAGTTTGCAGCACCTTTGAGACATTCAAAAAAAAGATGCCCATCTAAACATGCGGATTGGAGATAATACGAATGCTACAGAAGTAGCATTTAAAGCCATGAACGTGGATGAATTTGCCCAGTTCTCAAGAGTACAAGTACTAGGTCTTTAAATCCCAGTTGACCCATAGAGACTAACATGTTATGGGATTTTCCTTACTTCTCTGTTGATTCCCCATTGTTCACAACTCCTATCATGGCATGAAAAGTTTATCACAATCTGCACTTATTGTATGTATATAATGTGTATCAGTTAGCTTTTGCTGAAGCCCTGCTGCTTAACAAACAACCCTCAGATCTTAGCTTTTGGCCACAAAGGTCTATTTATTGCTCACATAACATGTTAGTGCCCAGAAATCCCTATTCCTGAGGTCATTATTCCAACCACCATTTGGTTCTTTCCTTCCCAAGTCCTAGCCCATAATGGTCTCCATATTGTCATCGTATTTCATATTCTGCCCTGAATCATGTTGTCTTCTCCAAAAACTCTTAAAATTCAATCTTAAAAAAGGTAGCCTGGGTGTGGTGGCTGGAGCCTGTAATACCAGCACTTTGGGAGGCCTAGATGGGCGGATCACCTGAGGTCAGGAGTTTGAGACTAGCCTGGCCAACACGGTGAACCCATTCTCTATTAAAAAAAAAAAAAAAAAAAATAGCCAGGTGTGGCAGCAGGCACCTGTAATCCCAGCTACTTGAGAGGCTGAGGCAGGAGAATCGCTTGAACCTAGCGGGTAGAGGTTTCAGTGAGCCGAGATCGAACCACTGCACTCCAGCCTGGGTGACAGAATGAAACTCTGTCTCAAAAAACAAAAAACAAAACAAAATAGAAGATAAAAATCACAATAAGACACTACTACTCAGTCACGGAAATAGCAAAGATCAAAAAGACTGACAGTAACAACTACTGTCAAGGATGTGGAATAATTCTAACTCTCATACATGGCTACAGGAATGTAAAAGAATACAGTTCATAACCCAGCAGTTTTACCTCTAGGTAAATACAAATGTTCACAAAAGACTTGTACAAGAATGTTCACATAGGAGCCCACAACTGGAAAGGTCTTAAATGTTTATCAATTGGAGAAGAGATAAACAAATCGTGGTATATACATATAATGGAATATGACTCAGCAATGACAAAGAACCAGATACTCATAACACATCTGTTTAATAACACAGATGAATCTAAAGATAGATATATGTCCAGTAAAATAAGCCATTCGAGAGGCCAAGGAGGGTGGATCATCTGAGGTCAGGAGCTCAAGACCAGCCTAGCCAACATATTGAAACACTGTCTCTACTAAAAATACAAAAATTAGCTGGGTGTGGTGGTGGGTACCTATAATCCCAGCTACTTGGGAGGGTGAGGCAGGAGAATTGCTTGAATCTGAGATCGTGCCATTGCACTCCAGCCTGGGTGACAAGAGCAAAACTCCGTCTCAAAAAAAAAAAAAAAAAAAGAAGTCATACATGAGAGAGTACATATAATTTCAGTTTGTCCAGGAACATGCCAAATTAACCAGTAATGATAAAATCAGAAAATGATTGCCTAGAAGATCGGAAGGAAAATTAATTGGAAATGAGAACTTTCGGGGCTGATGCAATGGTATCCTTTATGTCGGTTACAAAGGTATCTACAATTGCGAAGTGTTGTCAAACCACACCCGGCTGTGTTGTCTCACGCCTGTAATCCCAGCACTTTGGGAGGCCAAGGTGGGTGGATCATTTGAGGTCCAGAATTCAAGGCCAATATGATGAAACCTGTCTCAGCTACTCGGGAGGCTGAGGCAAGAGAATGGCTTGCGCCGGGTGCAGTGGCTCAGGCCTGTAATCCCAGCACTTGGGGAGATTGAGGTGGGCAGATCACGAGGTCAGGAGTTCCAGACCAGCCAACATGGTGAAACCCCATCTCTACTAAAAATCCAAAAAAATTAGCCAGGTGTGGTGGCGGGCACCTGTAATACCAGCTACTCAGGAGGCTGAGGCAGGAGAATGGCTTGAACCTGGAAGGTAGAGGTTGCAGTGAGCCAAGACAGAGCCATTGCACTCCAACCTGGGTGACAGAGCAAGACTCCATCTCAAAAGAAAAAAGAAAGAAAGAAAAAGAAAAAGAATTGCTTGAACGTGGGGGAGCAGAGGTTGCAGTGATTTGAGATCCCACCACTGCTTTCCTGCTTGGGTGACAGATAGAGACTCTGCCTCAAAAAAAAAAAGAAAAAGAAAAAAGAGAAAGTAGTCGAATCAAACACTTAAAAGATTTGTAGATTTTACAACTGGGCATGGTGACTCATGCCTGTAATCCTCCCAGTTTGAGAGGTGGAGGTGGAAGTGGGTGGATCACCTGAGGTCAGGGGTTGGAGACCAGCCTGGCCAACATGATGAAACCCCCATCTCTACTAAAAATACAAAAATTAGCTTGTGATGCATGCCTATAATCCCAGCTACTCAGGAGGCTGAGATGGGAGAATTGCTATAATCCAGGAGGTGGAGGCTGCAGTGAGTCAAGATAGTGTCACTGCCCTCCAACCTGGGTGACAGAGGGAGACTATCTCAAAAAAAAAAAAGAAAAGAAAAAAGAAAAAAATTACATATTCAATCTAAAATAAAAGGAAAGTGCAGGGCAAAGAGTACATTCATTTCAGTTAAAATTATATTATGAATTTATACCTCTATTAATGTCCAGTCCCCTACTGAAAGCTGCCCCCTCTTTCTGTCATTCTCCCCTCACCCCTGCCCCCGTCTCCATGACATTTGTCCATTAGCCATTTTCTAGCCATCATGAGAGGTGATGTAATGGAAAATGCAGCAACCTTAGAGCCAGAACTGCATTCAAATCCTAGCTGCCACTTAGTTGCTGAGTGCCCATATGTTCCCTGGTCTCTCTGAGCCTTCATTTTCTCAACTAGAAAATGGGTTAGCCTGAGGGGCTGCTCAGCCCACAGCCCCTCAGGCTCCAATCTTAGAAGGCTGGATGGAGACAGGGATGGGGCACAGAATGGGGACAGAGACTGGGTCAGTTTTGCCACAGAAGTAGCAACAAGAACAAAAGCAGGGACACAGGCAGGTAAGTACCTAGTCTACTCAGTTGGGCTAGGGACCCTCATTCTTTTTGACATCAACTTGCAAGATCAATTCACATAAATGGTCCCACTAAAGGCCTGGAAAGTGCTCAGAGGATGAGATTCACAGACTTCTCCCAGAAGGGCCAGAAGGCAGCCCCGGGACCCTGGTTAGAGTGTAGGAGAGGTGGTGCTGACAGCTGGTGAAATGGCTGCTCAGAGCCCACGTGGCCAGAGAAAGGCAGCTCCTAGCTTCTGATTTAGGGGACAGGTGTCCTGGGTAAGTCTGGCCACTAGAGAAGCTTGCCCAAATCGTTTTGCACACTTCTGGACCTCAGCTACCCCACCGGAAACAACTGGATCAGGTTGGATCTGAGCAATCTGACATCAAAAACAGCCTCAGGAATTTCCCAATACATAGAGGAGATAAAAGAAAAATGGAACCGGTCTTGTCTGAAATAAGATAGGGAAGGGTCCAGAGCCCTGTCCTCTAGGTTCCCCTCCCCCACCATGGTGGCCCTTGAGGCAAGATGCCGGGTCTCACAGGACAGAGAGAGTTCAAATCTTCAGTATTGGGCAATCCACAAGGACTCTTTCAGCTCTGCCTTATTCAGTCGTTGAGCACCTGTTACATGTAAATGAAGTAACTTAGATCTGCAGGCTGCCCCCCATCTGGTAGAGGAGGCAAAATACGTCTAGAAGTAACTCCAAAGGAGGTAGAAAGGTCGGGGTGTAGTCAAAGAAGCACAAAAATGCCACAGAATAACCCTGTCCTCCACCCCTCCCACCCTCAGAGCCCTCCTTCCCATGCACTTTGCATTTCCTTACTCAGAGACTGGAAGGGAGGTCTGCAGCGGTATCCTTGTTTCACAACCGGGGACACTGAGGCTCTGTCTGGGAGGGTGGCTCCTTACTGGCAAGCGGCCAGGCCAGGGCTCCACCCTACATCTCCTGCCTCCTGAGACACGCCTATTTCCAGGTAAAGAAAGGAGGCACTGAGGCCTGCTCAGGAGCCCAAGGAGCGCAAACGACGAGCTAAGCCACAAAACAGTTGCGGCGGGTCTCGGTTCCTTCCTGGGGGAGGAGCTGCGCTCACACCCTCCATGCCCCCCCTCCCTCCCAGCCGCCACAGTGGGAAGATCGGGGAATCTCAAATCCCTCTGCTTCTCTGGCTCTTTGCGCGCTGACATTTTTCTTTTTTTCTTCTTTTTACTGTTTTTTGGACGCTCTTCAAGAGTTTGTGCAATCATTGTGTTTAGCTGTTTTCCTGCCATTTCCAAACGCGGGGTGGTGTCCCTTTTGAGTAGGAGCGAGGTGGTTTGAAGAGTTGGAGGGACCTTCCGCCTCCCATCGCCCCAGCGCAGCTTGCACCCCAGCTGCCAAAGTTAGTGTCGGAAACTTTCCCCATGCGGGGCGTCTGGCTGAGTCCTCGGCTCTCCAAAGCTCTCTGACATCTTCCTCTCGATTCCCTTGCCCCTTGGGGTTCCTGCGACCCTCACTTTATTCCCCCATTCCCAAATTCCCCTTCCCAGAGGCACCTCCATCCTATCTTCTCCTGGGCAAGAGCCACTCCTCTGTCCTGCCCCACAGGCAAGGACAGACCCCTCACTCGCTGCGACTTACTCGGTCGCATCCTGTGCCCCCTAAGTCTCCTCTCTCTTCCCCACCCCCACCCCGAGGACCCATGGGGGAACCTCAGCCCGCAGCCCCTCAGGCTCCAATCTTGGACGGCTGGACAGAGGCAGGGACGGGTATATGGTGGGGACAGAGGGACAGAAACTGGGTCCGATTTGGCACCGAGATAGCGACAAGAACAAAAGCAGGGAGGGACACAGGCAGGGCAGAAACCCGGCCCTCCCCGCTCCCCCCACCACCCTCGCCCACGCGCAGAGCCCCCAGTCCGGGCCCTGCTCGCGGCCTCCGGGGACTTGGGCGGCGCCCCGCGGGACCCACCTGATCCGCAGAACCCGGGCGCCGAGGGCCGGCGCGCGGCGATCGGGGCTGGGCAGGACCGCGCCTAGCTCCCGGCCCCGGCGGCGCCCTCCACGCTCGAATCAGCCACAGCGCCGCCTCCGCCCGAGCCCGGGCCAGGCGTGCCAGGGTTGGGTGTACTCGCCAGTCCTCTTGCTCGTGGGCCGGCCGGCCAGGCGTCTGCTCCGGGCAGCGCACAGCGGGCAGGGGCACGAGGAGCAGGCGAGCGCTGACAGCGGGCGGCGCGCTCTGCCCGGCCCGCGGCGATCGGTTCCAAGCCGGTCCCCGCCCCGGACACAGACAGCTGGGAGGCCGGCGCGCGAGTGCGTGAGTGAGTGTGCGTGTGTGTGTGCCGAGGGGGAGGCGGGTGTGTTTGTTTCATTTTCACTCAAGCAGAAAAAAGCCTGAAACCAGCAAAAAACAAAATAAAATCCCCGGTGAGGGTGGCTGGGCCTCTTTTGCCTTCTCGGGCCTGCACGTGGTGGTGGTGGTGTCTGTGACTGAGCGGGAACCGGGGGCGTTGGAAGATGGGGTGGGGTCTGTCACCCTGTGCTGCGGGGAGGGGCTGCGCTGCCCTGGCGCACCGCCAAACGCTGGGGAACCCAGAGCCTGGGAGGTCTGATCCACCGTCTGTTTCCCGAGGAAGGAAGAGCGCGAATGTAGGCAGCGGCAGGCCAGGGGCTGGAGTCGCTCTTGCAGGAATCCTGAGCTCTGGAAGTGAGGGCTGGGCGCTGGACACCTGGTACAGGGCCTGCCCGCGTTTGCCTACTGACTTTGTGATCTTTGAGCCCGGAGTTTCTCAAATAGGGCTCTAAGGCAGCCCCTAGGCTGTGGAATAACTCTTTACCAGAATTATGTAGAAAGGAATCCAAAACATTCGATTTCAGAGTATGTGCTTCTGTGCCCAGTGTGGCAATGATTCACTCTGGGAGAGTTGCTATGGACACACCTGGCTGCCCTAAGTTCTCTTTGTCTTACAGTGATAGCCACTGGGGTCATCTCATTCCGTCTCATATCAATCTACTTTACAGGTGGAAAAGTCAGAACTTCATTTTGCCATTTGCCTTTGAACGTCATTTTCATAGACTAAGAAATTCCCATCTTAAATAATTCAGCCAGGCCTGTAATCCCAACACTTTGGGAGGCCGAGGTCGGCGGATTGCTTGAGCTCAGGAGTTGGAGACCAGCTTGGGCAACATAGCGAAACCCCGTCTCTACAAACTATACAAAAATTCGCCAGGCATGGTGGCATGATCCTGTAATCCCAGCTACTTGGGAAGCTGACACCCGAGAATCTCTTGAACCTGGGAGGCGGAGGTGGCAGTGAGCTGAGATCTCACCACTGCACTCCAGCCTGGGTGACAGAGTGAGCCTCCGACTCAAAACAGCAACAACAACAAACAAACAAACAGCAACAAAAAAGAAATTTGCTTTTTAAATTATTGAATACATTGGAACTGTAATTTGACACCATTACAGAAATAGCACAGAGCACTGGCATGATGTATAATTTTAATTGTCTCTTACTAATGGGAAAGGGACAGCGGGGCTGACGCCCTTTGTGGCCTCAGCCCACTGGCACCCAGGTGAAAAAAAAAAAAGGGACGGTGGCCTGACCGGTGAGGTGATGTCACAGAATTTGGGAGAGTGGAATTTCCTGTTGGGTTCAATGGAGTAAAGTGGTGGGAGGATGGAGCCATCAGCTCCACACAACAGCTCAGGAATGAGGAGCTCCAGGACAGCCAGCACAATGGGCCCTTTGCTAGAGGATAAATTGGGCCATTATTGTCTTATGTGAATACACTTGAAATAGTTCATTAGTTGTGAGTATCATAGCAAATGTACAATGAGTGATGTTATACTAAGTGTATTATTTTCCACTTTTCATTATTGCATTTCAGAATGCATTGTTTAAACTGCTCGGCCCATCGAACTGGATTATGAACTCTTCCCCTCTTTTTAAGAACACAATGATAGTGAACATGACAAGGGCGCAAATGATGACCCATCATGATCAAAGTCCAAAGACGTAACACAGGAAATGAAACACCCCAAACCACTACTCTGTTACTGGTACATCCAGGGTCAGCGGTTTAATCAGTCACTTGATTTAATGTTGTTAACTTGAATTTTTAAAATTGATTTTGTGGTTTGTATTTACTTTGAAGATTTGTTTTGGTTTTGTGGTTGGTCTATAGATCTATGAGCATGAGAAGTTCATGCTTAATTTTAGGTTTACACCTGTTCCAAGAAAGTAAAAGGAATGTAAGCTGACCTCGTGGGCCTGTTAGATACCGCCCCTCCCCCCACCTTTGAGAGTCATATGGTTCTGAAAGTCAAACTGGCAATTCTGCTGACTGAATGTCTGAGCTGGAAAACACCTTCTGCCTCCTTGGGTTTGGGATCAGGAGTTGTAGGTTTAAGGTCTTAGATGACTCATCCTTCCCCTCATTTGTCTCATATGTAAAATGGGGGTAAGACGAATAGTTCTTAGGAGAAGTAAAAGCAAAATGAAATGACTTCAGGAAAGAGCTTTGAGGCCACCAGAGCATCCCAGAAATATGAGGCCAAAAGATTCTCGAAGAGGAAGGGTAGGTCACGGAACCCCTTATGTAGCTCTGACCACCAGTCAAGAGTCATCAGCTCCACACAACAGCTCAAGAATGAGGAGGTCCAAGGGCTTTACATGTTACACAAACTTACTTAAATCTCTGACCCACCTTGGGAAGGCATACTAATCACATCGCCTTTTCCCAGGAGAGAAAGTAGAGGCAAAAGGAAATTAAGTAACTTTGTTTGCCATTCCTCTGGATAGGGCCAAATGCCCCAGGGCCTAAAGACCTTCCTCTTGTATCTGCTACTTTCTTGTAAGAAATATTTATGGGACCTAATTATCTGTCCTACTTGCTAAGAGCACCAACGTAAACAAGTTAGACCAACCATAGCCTAGAGGAGTTTTCAGACTAGGAGGAGGAAGATAATGGTGCATACAGGGGAAAACTCAGACAGAAGAGGGAGTTGACTAAGTGGAGAGATGAAAGAGGGTGTTTCAAGGGAATCACAGGCAAAAGTGCTGAGGAGAGAGGGCTAGGACCCCGAGTGTGCTGGAATGTGTCAACATCACAAATACATAATGCTCCAGGTGTGGTGGCTCAGGCCTGTAATATCAACACTTCGGGAAGGTGAAGTGGAAGGACCCCTTGAGGCCAGGAGTTTGAGACCAGCCTGGGAGCAGCATAGCAAGACTCCATCTCAATTTTTTTTAAAAAAGCAAAAAATATTTCAAAAGAAATAAACAAATATGGTAATTCTCAAATCAACTGCAAACAAACCCCAATGGAGTTTTTCTGGAACTTGATGGCTGCTCCTAAACTTCATAGAAAGAGCAAAGGGCCAAATTTAACCAGATGTCAAGATGTACTGAGAGGCTATAGCCAGGGACTACAGTATTGGTACCAGGATGGGTTCTCACCAATGGGTCGGAATAAGGAGCCTAGAAAGAGACCCACACATGTGTGTGACAGAGGAACACCAGATCAGTGGGAGAAAAAGCAGACTCTTCAGAAAATGTTGCCAGATCTCAAAGAATTGAAAGCAAGTGGGCAAACAAAAGCTTAGACAGGAAAGCTTATGGCATTGCTATCCACAATAGCCGACAAATGGAAACAACGCAAATGTCTACCAACTGAAGAATGATAAACAGGCCTAGCGTGGTGGCTCAAGTCTGTAATCCCAGCACTTTGGGAGGCCCAGGCAGGCAGATTGCTTGAAGCCAGGAGTTTGAGACCAGCCTGGCCAACATGGTGAAACTCTGTCTCTAAAAATAACAAAAATTAGCCAGGCATGGTGGTGAGCGCCTGTAATTCCAGCGAATTACAGGAGGTTGAGGTACAAGAATCACTTGAACCTGGTAGGTGAAGGTTGTAGTGAGTCAAGATCGTGCCACTGCACTCCAGCCTGGGTGATGGAGTGAGGCTCTGTCTCAAAAAAAGAAAAGATAAACAGAATGTGGTATATTTATACAGTGAAAAATTACTGGGCATCAAAAGGAATGAAGTACCAATTCATACCTCAACATAGATGAACCTTGAAAACGTTGTGCTAAATGAAAGAAGCCAGGCACAAAAGACCACATATTGTATAATTTTATTTACATAAAATATCCGATAGCTAAACTTATAGACAGAAAGCAGAGAAGTGAATGCCAGGGGCTAGGAGGAGGGGAATGAGGAGAGACTGCTTAATGGGCACAGAGTTTCCTTTCGAGGTGATACATAGCAATTTGGAACCAGATCTCGGCAATACTTACATAATTTTGTGAATGTTCTAAATGCCACTGAATTGCACACTTTAAAATGGCTTAACCATTTGAAATGTGACTTTGATTTTACATGAATTTTAAAGTGTTGCTGGGCAATTCCCTATTTGTTAAAAATATAAAATAAAATTAGATCCCTAACACACACACACAAACATACATATCCATATCATAGATAGACAAAAGACCTAAGGGAAAGAGAAATTTTAAAACTTTTGGCCGGGCGCGGTGGCTCACGCCTGTAATCCCAGCACTTTGGGAGGCTGAGGTGGGCAGTTCATGAGGTCAAAAGATCAAGACCATCCTGGCCAACATGGTGAAACCCCGTCTCTACTAAAAATACAAAAATTAGCTGGGCATGGTGGCGTGCATCGGTAATCCCAGTTTCTCAGGAGGCTGAGGCAGGAGAATCACTTGAACCCAGGAGGCAGAGGTTTTAGTAAGCTGAAATTGCACCACTGCACTCCAGCCTGGGGGATAGAGCCAGACTCTGTATCAAAAAAATAAATAAATAGAAGAAAAGAAAGAAAGAAGGAAGGAAGGAAGGAAGGAAGG